ACTGTACCCAGAGAGATACAGAGAAGGGGCTGGAACCAGGAATGATGACACAAGGTCCCGCAGGAGTCCCCGGGAGTGTGTGTGCACTTTACATCCTGCTCAGCCCTGCCCCCCACCCAACCCTCAGTCCTGTGCACAGACAGTGGGGCGGGCTCCAAGTCTGCTGGGCTGGGCTCTGAGGACCACCATGAGCAGGTAGGGCACAGTCCACTCAGCTACCTCCTTGCTGATCACACTGCCCCCTGGCCTCTGACCACCTCACTGTCCTCCAGCTGAGTGCTGGCTTTGGGCCCAGACACTGTCCCCGGGTTCGCTGCCCCTGCACCCACACAGCTGGACTCAGGAAATGGAGCTGTGGTGGGGCATGTCAAGACCTGCGGTCGCCAGCTCAGAGGCTGGTGTCCTTCAATCCCCGGGCTCGGACGGCCCTTCTGGTGGTGGATTCAGCAGTATGGGCCAGCCTGGGATCTGGCAGCAGCAAGCTGTGATGCTGCAGGCAATCTGCTGCCAGAGGTGGGGATGGGCACTCTCCCGGACTCCCCTCAGGACTCAGTTCTGAGGACCCCAGAGGGGCAGGACACCAGGATGCTTCTGGTGTGAGGGACCCCTCCCCAGCCAGTCCTTGCTCATTGGGTGATGTGGGGGGGGGGCGTCAAGATGACCCTGGGGCTATGGGCGGGGTGGCATCTGCCCCAGGACTCCCAAGGCTGGGGTATGGTGGCTTGGCAACTCTGCAGAGGAAGCTGCCCCCCCCACACTGTGCAGCAGGGCTGGGGCTTAGGGGTGCCTAGGGGTTGCCAGAGAGGAGCACACTGTGCCTGTCCCCTCAGGGAGCTACGGCCTGAGTTCCCCACACCCTGACTTTAATGAGGACCTACCCTCTGGCCCAGGCCCCTCCTCAGCAGCTGGAGACAAGTAAACTTGAGCAGGTGCCTGATCGACCCACCAACCTGGAGGCCTGGTCCTGGCTGGTGCACCACATGGCCGTGCCCTAAAGCAGAAGCCAGGGACTGCCTGTCAGCTACCTGAGCTGCCCCCACCCCTCTTGCAGCTGGGACTGGGCACCCCTACATCAGTGTCACCTCTGCCACTTCCTCTGAGTCTTGGCTGTCCCAAGGCAGCACCCATCCAGTAGGGTAGCCGGGGTCACCAGGTATACTCGTTTTCTGTTGCTGCTGTCATAAAACACCACAAACAAACGTAGTGGCCCCAAACTACATCTGGTAAGTGTCTTGTCTTCCAGGTCTGGATGTTGGCAGTGCACATTCCTTCTGGAGGCCGCAGGGGACGGTGTTTCCTGGTATCTGGGACTGCTGGGGCCATCCGCAGTCCTTAGCTCATGTCCCTGCAACACTTCAGCCTCCACTTACATGTCTGTGGCATCTCTTGGACCTTGACCTTCCTGGCTCCCTCCTATGAGGACGCTGGTGGCTACACTGTGCTCAACCACATAATCCAGGAGCCTCCCCTCACCTCAGGATCCTTAAGCACGTCTGTAGATTCCCTTTCCCCTGTAGAGTCACATACTCAGCCCGAGAAGGCTGCTTTGTTCCTGAGTCAGCTCACCTCCACCCATACTGGGGGTATGGTGCACGCCTCACTCTCCACGTGGAAGAGGAGGCCCAGACGGGCATGAGGGACTGCTGGGAGCCAGGACAGGCATACCAACCCCATCTCTGCTTCTTGGGCAGGTCTTTGGGCCCGGGCTTCAGTTTCCCATGTGTATCCAAGGGCAACACTCCTCCGACCCCCTTTCCAGCTCCCTGGACCTCAAGGTGGCACAGACAGCGGGTGAGAGGGACCGCAGTGGAACCGGAGAGCAGGACCACCTGGGACTGAAGCTGCCCCTTGGATGGAGGCTGTGCCTGCAAACTCAGAGGATGTCTAGTCACCATCCCTCAGGCCCACTGCAGTGCTGGGGAGGGCCGAGCCAAGCCCCAGTCCTAGGCCATCTGACTGCAGAGTTGCCTGTCACACCACATTGCCGGGCTGTTCTGTCCCTCAGGAAGGGAGGGACAGGAGGCTACAGCCTAGGATGCAGAGAATGACCTCATCTTGCCATCTTTAAAATTAAATTTCTCAGTAGCTTGGCTGAGAAGGCCCAGGGAGGGAGGATGACTCATGCAAGCAGGACAGGACCCAGGCAGGGCCCCAGAGGGGCACAGGGTGGGAGAACTGTGAGCCTGGGTGGATGGGGTGGTGTGGATCACGGCTGCACCAGGGCCTGGCCCTCCCCATGCCCAGAAGAGGTGGCCGTGGTGCCAATCTGGGGGAAACTGGGGTGGAGATGGCGCCAAGGTGGACTTCATGAGGCTGGGGGTGGGGACAGATGACCAAAGGCCTGGAAGCCCGGGAGGGGAGCTGGCAGAGGGTTTCAGCCCCGTGGGTAGCAGAGGGGCAAGGCCAGCTCCTAGTTCCCCGTGCTCTTGGGTGGTGGCGGCAAAAGGGGCAGCTGTCCACTGGCCCTGCTCTGCCGGGGGCGGCTGGTGACCAGGTGAGAACTGGCACTCCATGGGGCCTGCGAGGGAGGGGCGGTGCCCCTCCTCGTGCTTCGCAGGCAGCGGACCCTCATCCCCGAGAGCTGGGAACAGGCTAGGTTGTGGGGGTTCGGGAGTCGGCAAGACACACTCAGGGAGTCTGGAGGACAGAGAGCAGCCAGGTCGCGGCGAGGAGTGGGGCGGCCCTGGGTGGTCCAGGAGCTCGGCCGCAGGACGCCCAGAGGAGGGGCTGCGGCGGCTGTTGGGAGTGCTGGGACGGCGTTGAGGCAGCAGCGCGACGACAGCTCCTCTCCTGGGGCCGGCTGGCGCTTGCTCCCTGTAGGGACCGTGCCCCAGGGAACGCACAGGGGTCGGGGATCGTCATAACTAATTGAGAACCACTCGGACCGAGGACTGCGGCAAGCTCGGAAGGGTCGGAC